TGCTGCCCCTTTGACAATGATCTTTGCGTCCTCACTGGACGTAGTGCCAGAAGAATGGAACGTGGCAAATGTCATTCCCTTGTTTAAGGGAATAGGGATAATCCTGTAAATTACAATCCGGTCAGTCTTACTTCTGTGGTGGGCAAATTATTGGAGAGGATTCTGAGAGATAGTATTTATGATTATTTGGAAAAGCACAGTTTGATTAGAAATAGTCAGCATGGCTTTGTGAGGGCAGGTCATACCTCACAAGCTTTATTAAATTCTTTCAGGACGTGACGAAAACACAATGAAGGTAGAACAGTGGATGTGGTGTATATGGGATTTTAGCAAAGGCATTTTCCAAGGTTCCACATGGTAGGCTCATTCAGAAAGTAAGGAGGCATGGGATTCAGGGAAATTTGGCTGTCTGGATACAAAACTGGCTGTCCAATAGAAGACAGAGGGTGGTAGTAGATGGAAAGTATTCAGTTTGGAACTAGGTGACCAGTGGTGTTCTGCAGGGATCTGTTCTGGGACCTCTGCTCTTTGTGATCTTTATAAATGACTTGGATGAGGAAGTGGAAGGGTGGGTTAGTAGGTTTGCCGATGACATGAAGGTTGGAGCAGTTGTGGACAGCATGGAGGGCTGTTGTAGATTGCAAAGGGGCATTGACAGAACTCAGAGCTGGGCAAAGAAGTGGCAGATGGAATGTAGAAAAGTATGAAGCGATTCATTTTGGAAGGTTGAATTTGAATGCAGAATACAGGGTTAATGGCAGGATTCACGGCAGTGTGGAGGAACAGAGGGATCTTGGGGTCCACGTCCATAGATCCCTCAAAGTTGCTACCCCAAGTTGATAGGGTTGTAAAGAAGGCGTATGGTGTGTTGGTTTTCATTGGCAGGGGGATTGAGTTTCAGAGCCACGAGGTCATGCTGCAGCTCTGTAAAACTCTGGTTAGACCACACTTAGAATATTGTGTTCAGTTCTGTCACCTCATTACAGGAAAGATGTGAAAGCTTTAGAGAGGTGCAGAGGAGATTTACCAGGAAGCTGCCTGGACTGGAGGGCAGGTCTTATGAGGAAAGGTTGAGAGAGCTAGGAGCGACGAAAGAGGAGAGGTGACTTGATAGAGGTATACAAGATGATGAGAGGCATGGATAGAGTGGATAGTCAGAGACTTTTTCCCAGGGTGGAAATGACTATTACGAGGGGGCATAATTTGAAGGTGATTGGAGGAAAGTATAGGGGAGATGTCAGAGGTAGATGCATGGAATGCGCTGCCGACAGTGGTAGTGGAGTCAGATCCTTTCGAGACTTTTAAGCGACTCTTGGATAGGCACATGGAGGATAACAAAACGTAGGGTATGCAGGGTAGACTGATCTTAGTTGGATAATAGGTCGGCACAACATCGTGGGCGGAAGGGGCTGTACTGTTCTATGTTCTAGAATCAAAGAAACAAGAACTGCAATTGTCAAAAAATATGGTGGGTGTGAACACGATAGATAAATGGTCTACATCCGTTCAGATTTCTGTGTTCTATAAAACATTCCTTTTCAAAAACAAAATCTCCATTTAAAGCCATTCAAGGAGATGTTAAATATTCCAGTTCACTTCATTTGCACAGCAAGGAAACATCCTCCGTTGATTACCTCCCACTGCCTTCAGCTGGCTGAGTCAAGTGGTAGTCGACATGAAGGAGCACTGATTTAAAGAAATGTTGAGGGCAGAAAGAGCAAGGATTCTACTGTCAGGGGAGTTCCAAGCTCTTCTTCATGAATGGCTGAATAACTTCACACTGAAATGGTTAAATTGTAGGGGACATAACTGTGGGTTTGCAGCAGGTGGTGAAAGAACCAATAATTTTTTTTAAAAAGTTCTCATAGGTCTGTCTGCAACAGTATTGATAGTCCTTTTGGAATCTTATCACACCACAAATACTGTTCACTGTTTGCAGCACAACCATCATGCTGAGAAATCATGACTGATCTAGCAGCTCAGAACTGGGAATCGATGGGCGCCATCAACAGCAGAATTGATTTTTATTATAATTTCTTGCCTCATGGCCTAGCACATTCCTCATCACGAATGGTATTGGCAAGAAAAGAAACCACCATGGTTCAATGACAGCACTGGTTCAATGACAGCACTGGTTCACAGATCATGTCAAAATAGCACCAGTGCCAACCTGGTGAATCTACAGCTTCAGATTAAAATACCTTATTCAATCAAATAACACCTTAAATTAAGCAGTGGATGTTGTTTACAGTGACCTTCACAGTATTCGGTACCATTCATAACTCCTTGGATACTGAAGCATTTCACTCTCATGAGGAGAAAAGACCTGAAGGACATTCAGGATTTGGGCTGATAAAGTCAGTCTATGTCAATTTCCAAAAAAAAAGGGAGAATCTAACCATCACCTGATGGCATTCAAATTGCTGACCACCTCAAAGTCCAGGAGAGGGGTACACCATTGACCAGAAGATAAACATGTGTAGTACGACAGGGGCGGTGTAGGCGGAGGTGACTGACCCACCTGTTGACTCTTCTGACTTGGGCCTTAGAGGCGCTTGGACAATTCTGGGCTGGGATGAAACACTCGCCACTAATCAAGCTGAGTGCAGCTCGAAATGGTGCTTAAAAAAGCAGCTTGACACCGTCCAGGTCAAAATCAACTTGCATGATCAGCATCCTAACCGCCACCTTAAACCTTCAGGTCTTTTAGCACAGACAATGGTAGCAGTATGTGCCATCTACAAGTTGCTTTGCACCAACTCACCACGTCTCCTTTGATTGCACCTTCCAAACGTGCAAATTATACCACTAAGCTGGAGGCAGAAGACACGTAGAATCACCGATTACAAGTGGCTTGAAAGAAAGCTTACAACCCAACTTGGAAACATGCTGCCATTTCATTATCACTGGTGGAAAAATCATGGAATTTCCTAATAGCTCAATGGAAGTACCTTCACCCTATAGACAGCAGTATTTAAGAAGGCACATGAAGTGCAGTTAGGAATCAGCAACAAACGCTAGCCTTGCCAGTGATGCCCACATTCCATGAATGAGTTTTTTTTTTTTTTAAAATGCTGTTGCTCAAGAGAAAAATCTAAATGCTTCAAATGCATTGATGGTTTAATGTTCTTGCGAAGATTTGTAGGTCGGGTTGCGGACGGGGTTGTTGGCTTGCTTACCGAGCTGGCTGGTTATTGTACAGACATTTCATCACCATGCCAGGTAACATCTTCAGTGCAGCCTCCGACGAAGTGATGTTCTATTCCGCTAAGTACTTTTATCATCCAGTCTGTTAAGTTGGGTTGTGTCATTTCCAGTTCTGTTTTGCATCTGTTTGTAAATGGGGTCCAATTCCACATGTTTATTGATTGCATGACAGGTTAAAAACCAGGCTTCTAGGAATTCCCATGCACGTCTGTGGTTGGCTTCAGCTAGGATGGTCATGTTGTCCCACTTAAATTGATGGCCTCCATTGTTCGAGTGCACCAAGATGAGGGAAAGTTTGTCGTGTCGTTTTGGCATTGTCTATCTAGTAGATGAAGTTGTTAGGATATCCATTGTTAGCAAAGACCTTGGAAAGGTGCCCTTCCTCCTTCTTGCGTAGTTCTCGCATGTTGCAGGGAGTTGTGGCCCGTTTGAACAGGTGTTCTATCACAGCTTTGTTTGTGGATATTGAGGTGATTGCTGAGGAAGTGGAGAATTTGGTTAGTGTGGGTTGCTTTCCTATATACTGTGGTTTGGAACTCCTCGTTGGTGATTCGTTCTACCCCGACGTCTAGAAACGGAAGTTCATTGTTGTCTTCCTCTTCTCTCTTAAATTTGATCCTGGTGGTGAAAATGTTGATGAGATAGTGTCCTTCTAACTCGGTGCGTTTAATGACGACAAGTGTGTTGTCCACGTATCGGATCCACAGTTTTGTCTGTACGAGGAAGACGGTAGTGTGTTCCAGTCTTTGTATGACTGCCTCTGTAGACCAAATCCTCAATTTCCACAGCAATCACCCATGACACTATTCAAACAGACCACAGCTCACTGCCACACACCAGGACTATGCAGGAAGGAGGAAGAGCACCTATACAAGGTCTTTGCTAACAACAGATATCCCAACAACTTCATCTGTAGGTACCTACAAGATAGACAATGCCAAGAGGACACAGTATGCCCCAATTCACTGACCACACTACCCTGTATCAAGAACATATCAGAACTGGCAATCCTATGACCACTAGGAATCACAGCAGCACACAAACCCACAGCCACACTACAACAAACACTCACAAGGACCAGAGACCCCGTACCTATGACATGCAGGACCAGAATTCACAAAATACCTTGCGATGACTGCAGCAAACATTACATTGGCCAGACCGGAAGAAAACTAACCATCAAGATATACAAACACCAGCTAGCAGCAAAACGACACGACAAACTTTCCCTCATCTCAGCGCACTTGGACAATGAAGGCCATCAATTTAAATGGGACAACTTGACCAGCCTAGCTCAAGACAAACACAGACATGCACGGGAATTCCTAGAGGCCGGTTTTCAACCTGTAATGCAATCAACAAACATGTGGAATTAGACTCCATTTACAAACACATGCAAAACAAAACTGGAAATGACACAACCCAACTTAACAGACTGGATCATACAAACACCAAGCGGAATAGAACAACATCAACTTCATTGGAGGCTGCACTGATGTTACTTCGCATGGTGATGAAATATCTATATGATAACTAGCCAGCTCAGTGAGCAAGCCAACAACCGCCAAGATAGCTGTTCAATACTGTATCTACATAGGAGTGAGAGAGCAGACATTGCCACAAATGACCACTATGGAGAATTTGTCTGGAAGTGTTACCAATATTAAACTGAACTTTGAGCATTTTAACATTACTGACTCTGCCAATGAAATTAAGTTTTTTGACGTTTACGCAAACATTCTAAGATGACCATATACATACTGATTCTTTGACATATATTCTATCAGCAAGGTGAAATCTCTGATAAAGCAATGGCATAGCCGACTCTTCTCTGATGTGTTGAACATCATTGTAAGCCATGCAGGCTCTGTGATCCTTGGAACTGTGTAAAGATTGTATACAGTGGACCTGCAGAGAAAACACAATTTATAAATTAACTATTCCTTAAAAGCATTTTCCAGTCACTGAACGTTACATACAACTTATGCGATCCTTTAATTAGTTGCAACATATGCACAAAAAAGTATAAATCACAAAGCAAACAAGTACTTTCAACAATTTCAAATGATATTTATAAAATTATTCTTAAGAGTTTATGCACAATAAAATTTAAGTTAACATATAACTTTCCAATTTTTTTTAACCTTAACAGAATAAATTGAAGCGATTTGTGCAGTTAACACAGTTTGTCTCTCTGTAATCCAACAACCTTGGGACCTGCTCTTTGCTGGATGGGAGAATTTGTCAGGCCATGGGAGATCATGTCAGGGCTAGCACAGGAGTTTTCAAATGCACATTTAGAAAACACTGTGCAACATAAAATAAGATCTTAAAAAAAGTTATTTTAGGGAATGGAAAAGATCTTGTTAGCTGCTATTTCTAGATCTTGTGAACATTTCAAAAACAAGACTGACCGCAGAATGACAAAAGATGGCCAACAGAAACAGGAAATAAGTTACACAGAGATCATACTTCTCTCATTTGTAAATTGCATCCTAGCTACGTATATTATACAGAATTAGTTTTGTAAAACCCATCAGGTACACTAAGGTTCTTTAGGAGAGTGAGTGAACAAATAGGCAGAAATGAAGCCCATAAAGTGGGCAAAATGGGTTGATCGTGCTGAAAGCAGCCCATGACATGACATGACTTGACATGACATGGCCTGGTGTGTAGGGGTGGGTAATGGACACAGAAGGTGATGTTCAGGTTCTAAAATTATCAAAAAGATTTAAAGACCCGTGTAGCAAACGTAGAGAGAGAAAGATAGTAATATACGTCAGGAAGACAGACTAGTGAAATGGGCAGATATGGCAGATGAAATTTAATGCAAGTAAGTGTAAAGTAATTCAGTTAGGCAGGATGAGGAGTGGCAATGTAAACTAAACTAGTATATTTTTCCAGGAGGGTTAGAACAGCAAGACCAGAGAATGGATGTGCACAATATTCAATGGTGACAATTCAAGTTAAGGGTGATAACAAAAAGTGAGTCCTTGGCTTTAATAGTTTCTTACAAGAGACGAAAGATGTGTGAACAGAAAGAGAAGCCATATAATTGTCTGGCTACAGTTAAACAGATAAGAATGGAGCCAAATACGTGCAGTTCTAACTTGCTGAACAAAGTGGAAAGATAGAGATGGAGAATCAACAATGCCAAAAGCTCCAGACAGATCAACGAGGAGTAGAGATAGTTTACTTTTGTCAAAGTCATGTTTGATGAACGATTAATGAATCGTGTGTATTTTACAGTAAGAATACAAGAAAATACAGTGAAAAGCTTTCATTTGTGCCACGATTCAGTGCCATTTTGAATATTTTAAAGAATAAGGAAAGAAAAATATAGTTTAAAGAGAGCCTATTAGTCCTGAGGCATGTTATCATCAACAACACCTGCGCCGCCAGCCCCTTTCCACCGCTTTGCCGCCATCTACAGTGCATCTGACCAATGAAGTCGCCAATCTTCAGGCGCCACCTTTTGCCGTTGGCTGACACTCCTTTGCCACTGCCTCACGGCCACCTGTGCAGATTAACCAATGTTGCATCCCTCGCTGCTGGGACCACCTCAACGTCACTGTGATATGCTTCCGCCACTGCCAGAGCCTGATCCAACCAATGACTAAGTCGCCATCTTTCACTGCCGGGCCTACCCCACCGATGTCACCTCTGCCAATATATAACCATGATAACCAGGTCTTGTGTGATTAGGATGGAAACTTGATTGAAAAGATGCAATCACAGGTGATATAAGCATGGATATGGATAACCAATCTTGGCCATGCTGTAACATCTCACCGTCAATTCAGAAATAATTCTAAATGTCTTCTTTATGAAATAGTTGTCCAGGTAATTCAAGCAAATAGTATTACATTATTTTGATCAAGGTCAGGGAACAGCCAGACTCCAGTGGATGCCAAATTTAAAGGCAATTTACATATTGGCTTTTAATATTATTAATATTGCAATAATGAACTCTTCAATGAAAGGAATCACAGTACTCGTAAGTATAGCAAACATTCTTTTCAGATAATAGTTTCAGCAATGGCATGAGGTTGCAAAAAGAAAGAAAGAAAGAAAGAAAGAAAGAAAGAAAGAAAGAAAGAGAGTGGTGCTCAAATACAGGAGAACAGAACAACACTGATCTCTTCATGTCTCACCTGAATTCTCCCAGGCCCTCCATTACCTGGCTGATGTAAATCTGCACTCTCTGATTAGATTCTGCAATCCTTCTGCAGGTAATCATTGCCTACCAAAAAAAAAATTAAAGAACAATGTACATTAAATTCTTTTATTAGAGCATGGGCTCAAAATTTTGATTAGTGAAAACCCACCCACACTAAATTTTATCTCACAAATATCTGTAAGATAAATACAATGTCAAACTACTTCATTTGCATCAACGCACCCCAACCTCACCTCATGAAGGGGTCTCTATGATGGAAATTCTCCTATTCTCAACAAAAGATTAACTTCGCTTTAGTTATGGCAACCTTGGGGAGCTATGGGCAACTCCAGAGGAGTGATGACTAATATAGTTGAAACAATCTCAACAGAAATTCTTAAAACCTGCAGGTGGGATACGGTCAATAAAATAAATCCAAAATAGATTAAACTTTACTAAGATTACGTAATTTTATAGAATTTTTAATAGGGGAAACTCCAGGCAATCACTTGTCTTGAACACATCTAGCAATATAACCAATAGACTTTGATAAAAATATTGTAAAATTATAATTTCTTGGTACCTTCTCAATGGCACTCTTTAGCTTGTTTAGATGGGTCTCAAAGAGAGGAAAATGTGAAAAGAAGAACTCCTGGAAAGTCCTGTTTTCCTCTTCCTTCTCTGGCAGAGAGAAAACAACACTAACCGCTATCTTCTTCCTTCTGACCATCTGAGGGTTTGAAGCATAGCTCTCATCTGCCATACTGAATGTCTCCTCAGTTGACCTTGTAAATAAGGAAAGGTTAAACATAAAAGGCCAAAATCAACTATGAAAACATGAATATATGCACATATTGATATTTAGTTCAGAAGTATAGGCTCACAAATTTTAATTTGAGAATTAAAATAGAAGACCTAGAGATAAGCAAATAAAATATGTCATACAGGAATGAGAAAAAGCAACGTAGTGAAGGATGCAAATCTCAAGGGGATATAGGAGTAGAGGAACCAAGGGGTGAGAAGTGCACAAGTTGAAGGTGGTAGGGCAGGTTGAGAAATCAATTAATATGGCGCAAGGGAACCTGGGCTTTATACAGTACAACAGCAAGGACATTGTGGTGGACCTTTGCAAAACACTGGTTCAATCTCAACTGGAATAGTGCGTCCATTCTAGGCAACAAGCTTTAAGTGCATACAGACAAGATTTACAAGAATGGTTCTGGGAATGAGTTACAAAGACGGAATGGGCAAGTTGGGGCAGCTAGACTTGGAGAAGATGAGAGAAAGTTTAAGCAAAAAGGACTTGAAATTGTGTTGCATTAGTTGGGAAGTTAACATTTCACGATTTAGTTTAGTTACAATCACACAACAGAAGAATATTCCTTGACCAATATAGTATATTGCTTGGCTTTAAGTGTAACCATTGCAGATTTTAGTACTTCAATATCAAGGGACTATCCTCAGCTTCACTTGATCCTAATGTTTTAGTATTAGTTACAAGACCAAGGGGCCTTGTTTTGCTTATTTATATTTAATATCCAAACTTATAAGGTTTGAGATCCTCCAGCTTATAGCCCTTTTTAAGGATCATAATCAAGCTATGCCCTTGTTCTGGAGTTGTTGTAAGTTGTTCTAGAAAATAATAACATTTTGACTAAATGCAACATTTGAAATGTGTTTAAGTTTGTAATTGTTTAATCCTTTAGACCTGCATCATCCAAGAAGTTGAAAAAAAAAATCAAAAATTTGTTAAAAAAAAAAAAAACACTTTACAATTTCAATAATTCCAGAATGGATTCAACTTTATACAAATCCCACCCGTACCATGTTGCAGCTTTACCAAATTATGCATTTTTAAAAATGCTTTAAAACAGAGCAAACATACAAACCTCATGCAACCAGACTTAAGAATATTTCACAATTTCACTGTTTCTACATCCTGTATAACAACATTTTTTAAAAAACAGTACTGGTATTTGTATTAGTTGTGATACAAGACCAGGCTGATATACTGCAGTCATGAGTTCAAACGCCAACATGGTAACCGGGGCAATTTATAAATCGAGAATATAGAACTAGTCCCAGAACGGAGATCCTGTTGACCATCATCGACTGGTTTTAAAAACCCATCTGACTCACTAATGCCCCTTGGAGAAGGAAAATCTGCCATCCTTACTTGGTCTGACCTACATGCCAGTGCAGTAATGTGATTGACTCTTAACTGCCCTGTGAAGTTGATCTGCAATCTACCCAAGTCAACTAGAGACAGCTACAAATGCTACCTTTGTCAGTGATGCCCACATGAAAGAAAAATTGAGACATGAATGGAAATTGTGAAACCTGAAAAACTGTCCGAGAACCAAGCCATATCCTACTGTAGGCTTTCAATTGGCACAAGACTTCAACAAGGTAGCTGTCATAGATCTAAAGGAATGGAACACTGATACTTTCATTCTACATTTTATGGAGCTGGTGACCAAATTTACTCTATAATAATATTCAAAGGCAAAACTGTTTTGCACAAAATCATAAGAGGTGATTCTGCACAGGATTTAGACTTGTAAGGCAGGGGGGTGGTTTGACTGAGGGGGCTAAGTTTTGGATGTACCAGAGGGCAAAAAGAGAGAAGGTGGGGAATAAGGAAAAGAAAGTGAGGGAAAGCTTGAGTAGTGACAACAAAAAAAGGGATTATCTTCCCATGGGCAAGAGAGAGAGGTAACAGCAGGATTAAAAGTTGTATGTATGTAATTGCACAGAGTATAGTGAACAAAAACTGGGGAACTGGAAGCAGAAATTGCTCGAGGATAGGACATAGTAGCATTGACAGATGCATGGCTCAACAGAACAGGACTGGATCTTTTGCATCCCTTGAATAAGATGCAGCTACTGAATTAGAAGCAATATGGTTGCCGGTGATAAATAGGAAAGGAGCAATGACCTTGTTGGATATTTATTACAGACATCCAAACAGTAGGAAGTAGTAGAGATGTGTACGCAGATTATGGAAATCTGCAGGACATGTAGGGTTGAGATAGTTGATGATTTCAATTACCCTACAGTAGACCAGAGGGCACGGAAGGTGAGAAATTTCTGCAACGCGTGCAGGAGAACCTTCTGGAACAGTATATTTTCAATCCTACCAGGGAGGGAGCTGTGATGGTTCTGGTCCTAGCAAATAAGGCAGGCCAAGTAGGGAACATTACAGTGGGGGAACAATTGGGAAATAGCTATCATAATATAATAAAGTTCAACATTAAATTGAAAAAGAATAACAGTCAAGTATTAAGATCCCAGACTGGAAAAGGGCAGATTTTAGGGGTCTAGAAGTTTAACCGGAACAGGTTGATTAGTGGATGAAACAGTGGATGAAAAATGGCAGACTTTCAAAAAGAGAGATTAGTAGTGTACAAGCTAGGTATACACCCATGAGAAATAAATATGGGATATCCAAAGCTCGCATACCCTGGATGACGAAGGACACTGGTAAGAAAATAAAAGAAAAAAAAAAAAAGAGACATGAATGATGTCTGCCAGAATAACTGTAGCAATATAAATCAGGAAGGGTATTTCAAATGCAGGAGAGGGTCTAAAGCTGGATTGGGAAGGCTAAGAGGAAGCATGAGGAAAGGCTGTGCTAAAACAAATAGTAAAATGTTCTTCAAACCTAATAACAGTAAAAAGATTAGTGAAGGATAGAGTGGAGCCCATAAAGGGACAAGCAGGGCAAGCTTCTTACTGAAGCAAAAAGGGTATGGAAAAGGTGCAAATAAGTACTTTGCTTCTGTCTTTACCTAATTAGAAAATGGTGACAATGGCCGGGTTGAGTGTTGAGCAACCAAGCAGTATAGTAATTGATAAAGAGGTCTTAAAAAGGCTGACAGCAATCCAGGTAGAGAAGTCGCCAGGCCTGAACAGGATGCATCCTCGATTGTCGAGAGATCTAAGAGCGGAGCCATTGACAGAAATTTTCCAGGCCCCTTGAACACAGGATTAGTCCTGGGGACTGAACAATTGCAAATGTGACACTGTTGTTTAAGAAAAAGGCAAGAAATAATCCACAAAACTACAGACCTGACAGTTTGCCATCAATAGTGGGAAAACCAACTGGGGCCATAAAATAGGATAAAAAGGTAAACATTGTCTTTTTCTCAAAGTGTGTCAACGTGGCTTCGTAAAGAGCAGGTCACATCTTGACAAATTTAATTCTGAGTACTTTGATAAGGTGACATAGGCAGTGGATGAGGGCAGTACTGTGGATATTGTATATTTGGACTTCCAGAAAGCATTTGATCTGGTGCCATATGGCAGGTTGGTTAGCAAATTAGAAATGTTTGGAATTGACAGGTCCTTAGCAGCATCGATTAGAGGTTGGTTAAAAGATAGGAAACAGTGGGTAGGTATAGATGGGAATGCCACATATCAGAGATGAGCTGAAAATGGTGTTTCCCATGCACTGGTGTTGGGACCCCTGTTTTTCTGATTTATACAAGTGATTGAGATGGGTGTTTAGGACAAAATCTCTATATTTGCAAATGATACTAAGCTAGGGAGAATAGTGAATTTGAGGATGACACGGAGGAACTGGAGAAGGACATTGACAAGTTGGCCATATGGGCAGACAGTTGGCAAATGATTTTCAATGCAGAGAAATGGTGGTAATACATTTTGATAAAAGAAACACGGAAAGACAATGCAGGCTCAATGGTACAACTCTGAGGGGAATACAGGAGCTGAGGGACCTTGGGGTTCACGTGCATAATTCTCTGAAGGTGACCAGACAAGTTTAAACAGTTCTTATGAATTTTAGATACAAGGAAACATTAGAAAAATTGGGCTTATCCTCCCTGGAGCAGAGAAGATTAAGATATGACCTCACTAGGTGTTCAAAATTCTGGCAATTTTTACAGGATAAACGAAGGATATAGTGTTTCCAATAGTTGGTACATTAGTAACTAGGGGTCACAATTTCAAGACTGCCATCAAGACAGCTAGGATGAGATGAGGAGAAACTTCTTTATTCAGTTGTTGGGATTCAGAATGCATTGCCTGGAAGAGTAGAGGAGGCAGAATCCAGGAGGTTTCAAAACAGCTGAATATATATTTGAAATTGATTAATTTAGAGGGCTATTGAGATAGGGCTAGAAAATGGGACTAGTTGTGTAGCTCTTTCAGGAGACAGTACCAACATGATGGATTGATTGGCCTCCTTCTGTACTGTAAAATTAGATGCTTCTGTTTATTTTTGTTTTAAAGTAAAGTAAACTCTTTCCAAGCATTCAAGCACCACACAAAGGAAAACAATTTAAAGTGCTCTAAGACAACCGAATGGTCAGTGATAAACAAGTGTTTGATTTAATGGGAACTTTACCAAATAACAGATTTGAGATATGAGCCTGACATCAATCAATCAATCATTTGGTCCTGACAGTACATGCCTCTTCCCTGAAAGAGGCAAGTAAGAAAAACATTTATTTTCCCCTAAGAGGATAGCAAAGTTACAATAACAGATAAAGGTTGGGTCTGTGGATAATTAACTTAAAAGAACCAGTCAGGAGATAACGGGAGGTGACATCAGTCAATGTTCATCATCCTTTAAAGCCAATTAGAGATTGATCTTGCATCTTAAACCAATTAGCGATAAATCACACCAAATTTCATCTCAAGTACAAGGATATAATTGATCAAATTGCAGGTTATAGCTTGGAAACAGCAAAGTAGCAGCAGCTTTTGGTGACCATGCTGAAGTTATCCTGTTGCCCAAAAGTAAGACGACCTCCGCGGTGTGGAGAGAGGCCAAGTGTCAACCTGCCCCAAATTGAAGCAAGCAAGAGATGCAGTACATCTGCAAAATCACTCCCCTGCTTTGAGAAGCATTGTTTTATCTGAAGTAATATTTCCTGAGTTACTGTACCATTACGGTAACCTGTTGCCTTACTGGATAAAATCTCAAATGAACAAATTAATAGAGGGATTGAGGCTTAAATTATGACCAAAAAACCTTACAAATCATGAGGAAATAGATAGAAGTGAGAAATTGTTTCAAATGGCAGAAGCAGTTGAGAACTAGAAGATACCAATTTAACATGAATAGCGAAAGGACAAATGATGACAAAATCTCTTTCATTTTAGAATCACAACAAAAGAGTCTGCTGGAGGTATATTCAAGTAACTGTTAGAGTTGGAGGTGAGGTTGAAGACAGGTTGAGAGCATTATGAAGAAAAAGAGCAGGATTAGTAGAGTGGATCGGAGAGAGACTTGGTCGCACTGAGCTGAATAGTCCCATTCTGTGCTGTAACCATTCTATGACTTGCAGTTCTGATAACTTGCATTTATATAGCACCTTTGATGAAGTTATCAAGGCAGTTCATAGGAGTGGATCAAACAACATTTGAGTCACAAAGATATTAGAACATATGATGACCAAAAGCGCAACCACAACAGCAAATGATTAAAGTTATTCCGAATCACCTTCCAACAATTCCATTAGTATTACAGTTTATTTTATCAATCATGCAGATCACCCTCTCTAGTAACAATACTCTGAGGTCTACTTCCCACTAGCAGAATACAGTTTCACCTCCATGATTTTCACACAGACATTCTTGTAGATATTTTTAAATCAGCTAATTCAGAAATGTTGTTAATACACACCTCTGGAGCATGTAGGACAGGAACCCAGGCTTTTTAGAAGCCATTCTTATAGACTTTCTCACTCTGAATAATATCACTAATTTGTAGGTATTTTAAACAGCATGTTTTAATTATGTCATCGTTACCCAATTTAATTACTTCAAAAAAAGTTCAATTGCCATTCTTAATCATTTACCATTACCAGTTCATTCCTTCAGAATGAATGCAAAATTACATTGGAAACAATAAACTTACCACCTTGGAAAAATGCCATTTTCAAGACTGGTAGTCTGATTTCGTAGCCAGCGTCGCTGGAAACTACTGGCACAGCTACTGGTGGAAGAGGAATTTGGAGAAGGGAATGGTGTAATTAACAGACTACTGAGGGATGCTGCAAGATAAAAAAAATGAAAAGATCATTATGAACCACGACCACAGACTGCTTCATTGAGCAATTGCACAATTTACAGTGATATGACAACAGCAAGTTATTTTCCAACTGCGGCAATATAGTTTCTGAAACAGAAAATAATCCATTAGTGAAAATTAGGAGCCTCTGCAACTCAAAAGTTCTATAAAATATGATTTAAGTACATAACTTTTAATTCCTTCTAGTTTTCATTTTTACAATAAATCTGGTGAAAAGTTACTATTTCAAGTACAATTGGCAGTTTTAAAAATGATCTAATATTTTGGTTTAAAATTAGATTTCTTTGATCTTAACATCCAAAAAAATGCAATAAATACCTGACCGTGCTATTCCACTATCTCCATCCTCATTTTGACCTCGGCTTGGCATATCTACAGGTGTACTATGAGCTGCAAGTAGAAAGTTCCATCAGGACATTCATTTCACAAAATCCAATTCTCATAGTTCACTTTTGTTGCCAGCAGATAGGTAGCAATTCCTCCAAAGGAAAGATGGGTTTTAGCAAAAATATAGACAAAATTTTTAGATCAAGCACAGGTGCAGCATTACAGGAAAAGTAATGATAGGCAGTAACACAGTCAGATCTCTAGAACAATGGTCTAAATTTTGAAACACTTACAACACAAAATGTCTCAAACAACATACACATCTAACCAAAATGCAATCACAGGATATCGCTGCTACACAAGATACTATGGCAATTATGCTGTGTAGAGATACAATATTGTTGCCCTATTACTGCACTGTCACAAATTTAATCTATGCTGTTCAAGTCATTGTTCCTTTTGAACATCTTTGCTGCATGCTGTGCATTACGTTCTTGGTGCAGCTGTTTTTGTGAAAAACACCGCCATCCACAGAAGGGCAAAAATTCCTTTTTCCTATAACAGGTGCAAGTCTGTGAATATCATTGGATAGCACAACTGGAATCAGTTACAACTACTGTAGAAGAGCTGAAGGCTCTGACCAAGGATGGGATTTGGGGAAATCTAACAGGTAGGCATGTACTGATGTCAGGGATAATCCTCCCTTCAGCAGAGAAAGACATTGATGAAAGATATAAAACATTGAGAAAAAGCACATTTATTTGGAGCTAGCAAGAACTGCAGATGCTGGAAGCCAGAACCGATAGTGTCAAGCTGGAGGAACATAGCATGTCAGGCCTGCTGTGTTTCTCCAACTCCACACTGTATCCACATTTATTCACAGATTCATTGTGGTATTGCTTCTCATATCCTAGGACAAACCAATAAAGTAGTTTTCAATTCACAGCCGATCTCGTGCTATAATTACTCGATCAAAAAATTAAAACAGGTTGTTTCCATAAATATTACAATATTTAGGCCATAGTGTTCTCTGCTGTGTCATTCAGCACTAAAAAAAAATGTAAAGGAGATGAAACTGCAAAATGACAAACATCTGCAGATAGGTTGGCCGGTGGTTTGTTCTTCATTGCAGTAAGTTCATAATTATACTGGTCCTAGCAGAGCACCACCTAGAATGGTGGGAGTAGCTGGATTTAATAATTAGTGTATTATATTACAAATTAATGCTGAATTAAGAATCATTTCAATGAAGTACTTAGTTTAATTAAGCAAAGTAGTATCTCACAACCCTGATTTAGTTAGGAAATCCAATATTGAGAACGGATTTCAAATCTCGTTCACTAACTCAATTAATAAATACAAACATCGAACCATAAAACACCATTCCTTCAGAGTCTTTAAGGTTTGTTCGTGTGCGACTTCATTTTTCAATGAGTTGTAAAATGAGAAATCCATCTATGTGAATCACTTTGAAGTACATTAACACCTTCATAATTTGATGGTACACAGTACACACCAAGAAAAATATTCAAGTTATTTATGAGATAAGAGTCATAGAGACATACAGCACGGAAACAGACCCTTCAGTCCAACTCGTCTGTGCCGACCAGACAACCCAAATTAATCTAGTCCCATTTTCCAGCATTTGGCTCATATCCCTCTAAACCCTTCCTATTCATATACCCATCCAAATAAATGCCTTTTAAATGTTGTAACTGTACCAGTTCCAACACTTCCTCTGGCAGCTCATTCCATAAACACACCACCCTCTGAAAAATTTGCCCCCTAGATCCCTTTTAAATCTTTCCCATCTCACCTTAAACCTATGCCCTCTAGTTTTTGAGTCCCCCACACCTCAGGAAGAAAACTTATTTACCTTATCCATGCCCCTCATGATTTTATAAACCTCTATAAAAAAGGTACCTCTCAGCCTCCAACATCCCAGGGAAAAATAGCCCCAGTCTATTCAGTTTTCCCTATAGCTCAAACCCTCCAACCTTGGCAATATCTTTGCAAATCTTTTCTGAACCCTTTCAAGTTTTGCAACATCCTTCCTATAGCAGGGTGACCAGAACTGCACGCAGTATTCCCAATAGTGACCTAACCAATGTCCTGTGCAGCTGCAACATGATCTCCCAACTCCTATACTCAATGCACCGACCAATGAAAGCAAGCATACCATATGCCTTCTTCACTGTCCTATCTACCTGCGACTCCACTTTCAAGGAACTATGAACCTGCACTCCAAGGTATCTTTATTCAGCAACACTCCCCAGGAGCTTAAGTGTGTAAGTCGTGCCCTGAATTGCCTTTCCAAAATGCAGCATCTCATATCTATCTAAATTAAATGCCATCTGCCGCTCCTGGTGTAAATACAGATAAAACTTACTGCAGACTAAAAATCTTTCCAACCAAGCACTACACCAATGTAATGGACCTTCTATTTTTAGGTTCTTAGCTATAAATTTGGTTTTGTTTTACTTTCCTTGCTCAATAATTTAAATTGTCTTTCACGTGTTAAATACTGATGTATCAAAAACAAACTCTGGGCTTTACCATCATTAGGGGCACTTTCATTTGTGAAAAACATCACAATTTACAGGTATAAACATGAAATAATGAGCACGGGAGGGGAGAGTGACTATTCTGGACATCAAGGAAGCACTTAACTGAGTGAGGCATTGTGAAACCTTAGAAAAGTTGATTTCAACGAAACTTGAAAATTCTAGAGTGGCTGGAGTCATGGAAATGGAAGATGATTGTGGTTGCTGGCAGCCAATCTCAGCACATTGCTGACAGTGAGCAACAGGTCTAAGGCAGGCTCACACCCACCTTTAGGGCAATTACAGATACAGTCAATAAAAGGCTACCTTCCAGCAATGCTCCAAATCTATGCATTAGAAAAACTGCAGGGAGAGGAAATGGAAAGTATTATCCCATTTCCAGGACCCCTTTTCTCTCCAAAGTCCATGACCAAGTTGTGAACTCCAAACCTGTGCCTATCTTTTATGCAATACATTGCCCAAATCCTCCGAAAGAAGTTTCTTCTCAGCATCAGAGCAGCCCTTAGTTAAGTCACAAATGACATTCTACATGACTGAGACCATAGGAAACCATTTTTTCTCATCCTTTTCAATACATCTCCTTAGACTTTGACATAGCTGACCTTACTATCTTCCCCGAACGCCTCTTTACAGTTGTCTGCTCATATACACAAAATCATGTGCAATGGCTCTTCTCACATCTGCACCTCTGAAGTCACAAAAGAATTAGTCCTTGATCTGCTCTTATTTCTTACTTCATGCAACATCCTTTGAACGTGTCCAGTATTATATGCACACTGCTAGAACTACTTCATCACCACTTTTCTCAATCTCTCCATTGTCTCCAATTTGTCAGATGATACTGAATAGCAAACAAACAATCTATAAGAGCAAAACTTTCTTCTAAGCATTAAAAATACTGAAATCATGTCTTTGGCCCCAATTACTTGAATTCTTCTCTAGGAGCGAAAAGATGCTGGAAAAACTTACTACAAATCTGCTGTCACAGGCAATAGTTACTTTGATGTTGCAACTCTGCACTCTCAGGTCACCTGCTGTTGACATGCTCAACCATGATTTTGGTGCTTTTACAGTCTTGATTGTTCCAATGTTTATTGGCCAGCCTCCCTTTGTCTATCCCATAGAAATTTGAGCTCCTTCATATTGTTCTGGATCCTAAGTTGCACCAGCCCTGGTCCACTAACACCTATAGTTTTAACATTTTCATCCTTATTTCAATTTTTTTTGTTGAAACAGCCTTGCCCTTTCTAACTTGTCCCAGCCATATTATTCTCAGACACCACAGCAGTAGGCTGAAACAGCATAAGTGTAAAATCAAAAGTTCCCTTTTCACCCGAACTAAATTTGAATCAAAGCTTACAAAAAGATAAACAATTACAGTCATAGAAATCAGTGAACTCAAACCTGTGGGCTAAATAGAATCAGTTAAAGCTAATTTATAAAGTGTTCATGCTTGTTTTTTGAATTAACTCAATTATATCAAGGAGAATACAACAGTGGGATACATTTGGACTGAGTACTACACAAAACAAAACCTGTTGGAAGAGTTAGATAGAAAAGTATTGGTATAGACGCAACAGGGACAGATGGTGCAGAGTAGGACAAATACAATTTAGAATTACTGATCCATTAGTTCCTCCCAATCAAAACAGTGCAAGTAGTAGCCCCAATAATTTCAAAACTGACACCTCATTACGATTACCCCAAATCACCAATGCTCAGTTCAGGTTCTACCAGAACTCTACCAGACAAATGCAATAAACTGAGTATTACAGAACTGTTTCCCTTGACATTCAGAAAATATTTAATCCAATTGCTGCAATAAAAGGGTCCCTGGCAAAACTGAGGCCAATAGAAATCAAATGAAAAGTCTTTCTCCAGGCATACTGGAGGCAAGGTTATAGTTGACAGACAAACAGACAATGCAGTGTCCTGAATTCACTGCAGAAGTTCCTCAGGGAAGCTTCATCAGCTGATCAATCCTGAAATATTTTAATCCAGTTGAGGTTGTAGACTTGCTTGCCAAGCCAGTGTGTTTCTTTGCAGATGTTTCATCACCCTACTAGGTAACATCATCAGTGCTCTGTCCCACTTGTTATTTATATGCCTCGGTTTGCTGGGGTGGGTGGCATTACTTCCGGTTCTGTTTTTCAGTGGTTTGTATAACAGGTCCACTTCAATGCGTTTGTTGATGGAGTTCCAGTTGGAATGTCAGGCTTCCAGGAATTCCCTGGTATGTCTGTTTGGCTTGTGCTATTATTATGGATGCGTTGTCCCAGTCAAATTTGTGTCCTTCTTTGTCCATGTGTATTGAGACCAGTGAGGATTGGTCGTGTCTCTTGGTGGCTAATTGGTGTTCGTGTATCTTTATTGTCAGTTTTCTTCCAGTTTGGCCTACGTAATGTTTCTTATAGTCCTTGCATGGTATCTTGTATAATACGTTAGTGCGTCTGGCCGTGTTGTGCCTTCTTATTGTTGTCTGTCACAGATTGTGCTTATTGAGTATCCATTCTTTTTAAAAACTCCGTATGAATGCTCCTGTTCGGCTTCTGGGGTTGGGGGAGCGGTGGTGGTGCGGAGGAGAAAAGTAATTAAGTGTCTGGTCTGTATGTGCATTTCTTTCTGTATACACTAGTCTGGAGTTCCCTGTTGTTCTTATGTTCTGCCATTATGTCTTGGAAGGGTATTCAGTTATTGTTCTCTTCTTTTGTGAATTTTATTCTGGTGAAGATGTTGTTTGTGTGTCAGTGGGTTTCTTCTAGTCTTGTATGTTTGATAATCACAAAAGGTGTCATCTTTGTCACAGCAGACCCAAGAGTTTGGGTTGTATAGGGGGGACCACTGTTCGTTCCAACCTTTGCATTACCCTTCCGCGATCAGTCCTGATATTGGGGATCCTATTGGTGTTCCGTTGATTTGTTTCAATATACGGTCATTGAAGGTGAAGGTGAAGTGGGTTGAGGCACAGATCGATATACAAACCACTGAAAACCAAAACTGGATGTAATGCCAACCACCTCAACAAACTGAGGCATATAAATAACAAGTGGGACAGAACATCAACACTTCACCAGAGGCACACTGATGATGTTACCCAACAGGGTGACAAAACGGCAGCAATCAAACACACTAGTTCGACGAGCAAGTCTACAACCTTCTCTACAACCCGAGCCACGAATCTTCTCAAAAAGTTTAAGCACCTATGACCGCAACACCCTCAAGCTGGCCAGCAGATGGGAGACAAATGCCATCCATCTGAGTGCAACTGGGAAAAACTATATTTCCTGCACGAATGCCTCAGAAAACAGGTATTACCACAAAGCTTAAAATATAAACCACAGATCAACAATCCATAGGCATGAACAACGGCTACACAGAATGGCTGCAGAATGATAAGGGTTATGATCAACGATGCCCACAGCCCACCTCCACGAATGCAAGCTGGAAATTGCACGCCAAAAAACTTTATACTCCAACACAACCGACCAAGAATGGATAACCACACTGGAACAAGCCATCACCGTACAACGCACAAGACCAGAACAAAGAAACTAATAGCCCTACGAGAAAAACTATCCAAACTCCCCCACAACAATGACACAGACAGCACAGAAACATGGATCAAGAACATCTCAATCCGACCACTTACAGACACTGAGAAGACCATCCTAGTACACGGACTGAATTATAGCTAGAGACACCAAAAAAAAACTGACTTCCTGGCTACACTGCAATCAAAAATAAAGAGCAACGGATTCATGGAGAAAATACAACAGACCATCAGACAGACGATAGTCCCAACCCTGAGCAGAAAAGGCAAGTGGAACACATTCAACACAGAAGAGAAGCAAGCCCTTGAAAGACTCAAAGGCAGAAACATCATAATCTTATCGGTGGACAAAGTGGCAGTAATCCTTAATAGAGCCCAATACATCGAGAAAGCTAAAGCACTACTAGCAGATACCAACACCTAC